CTAAACCTAAACCCTAAATCCTAAAATGCAAAACATCCAACCCCGAAGGCTTAGCTTCAAGTCCCAGCTCCTGAACCCTTCACCCCCACCTGGGCCCTATAAAATCTACATTTTTAGGGCTCCTTATGCTATATGGTTTCTTTATACAAGTCCTTAAAAAGGTACATTATTTGGGGTTAGGGTAAACCCTAAACCCTAAACCCTACTCCAATGAAGCAAATCGATCGATGAGCCCCTGATATCGCCTGGTTCAGGAAGAGCCGGTGCGGGTCATCGGCGTAGAGAATCACCAGCTCCTCCGTCCGAGCTTCGGGAGTTTAGGGTTTTCATTTTGGAGGTTCAGGGCTTAAAATAGGAGCCTCAATAATTAATTACTTATACTATTCTCCTTCTTTTGATAGTATAACATGCCCCAAAACCCTCCTTATTATAGTCTAACATGCCCCAAAATAACCCTATTCTAATGATTAAGGCCCCTACATTAGGGCCGAACCAGAAGGCCTGAGCAGAAAGCAGGAAACCTACGGTTTAGGGTTTAGGGTTTAGGGTTTAGGGTTTAGGTGGTGTTGGGGCTCGTGGCAGCTTTTCGTGCCGTCAAGATTCAGATCATGACCGCTGCACTGGACCCCAGAAAACCGAAGTCCCAGGGCTTCGGGGTTGGGGCTTTGGGTTTAGGGGTTAGGGGTTAGGGGTTGGGGGTTAGTGGGGGGCGGATTCTTGTCATGCCGAGCAGTTTCAAGAAGGATACTGGAAGTGGACAGCGCAAAGCAAGCATACGCAGGCGCCTCCAACATCATGTAATTAGCCCCATAGCTCGCACGCGGCTCCTAAACTGTTAACACCAAGGCCAAACATTTGAAAGCCGAGGGCCCTGTAAACCCAGAACGCTAATCTCAAGACCGATAACCCGAACACCCTAAGTCCAAGCCCAAAGTCGTAAGGGTTCAGGGTTTAGGATTTCTCTGGTTTCCAATGAGTCAATGAGGGACCAATACTAGATCCTTGACTACAAAAACCGTAAAACCCTTAAGTCCCAGCCCTATGAGTTCGAATATTCTCAGATTTTCCCCTGAGGATCTACGCCCAGCTCCATGGCTACGACCTGTTCCAAATCACGAGCTCGTCGCAGATCGCGCCAAACTTGGCGTCCGGGTGCGGACCTCAGCGACAGTCCCTGTCTGTTCTACGACGGTTTCTAGGCATTATCGTATTTAATTAGGAGTCAAAAAATTTCCATGTTTGGAATATCTGGAGTTCTTCGACAAGAGCAAACCTAGACAGCTTAACCGGTAGATGCTTCTGCCTGTTGGGGGGTAAATGGTTCTAGCACCCAGAGACCGAGCTGGCTGCAGTCGAATCCTGGTTTATTGCCGCTAAACTGCTTTTCATGGATCGTTACATCAGGCATCTTCCTTCATCAGAGCTGCTAGGCATAGCGGTGGTACCTGGCGTCAATGAGCATCCTAGCCGTTTCGAAAGAGCCAACTGTTTCGATCCCGGCGATAACATCACGTTTGCATACGCTAGATCACGCGCCGAATCACTTTTTGTTGCATGGCGCTTGGGATTGACAGCCTGAGCGTCTGAGTCATTCCTTACAGCCGTAACGTTGCCGTTCATGTTCCAAGATTTGAGGTTCCCAAGACTCATCAGCAACAGCACTGCCCAGGATGGACATCAACGACGGTGTCCACAAGCCGTTCTTTTGGAAGGTGAATGCCGCAGCTCCAACTGCAGCGAGGACCACTACAGTCGTCAACTGCTTCCCGTTTAGGCTGATCACGGCTGCTATCATTGTTTGGGAGAGACTCGCTCTATTTCTTCATTTTTGGCGACGACGACGACAACGACTGCTATTACTCCGTCCGGCTCTGCTTTCCAATTGCTAAGCTGGTGCCTTTCGAGTGTTTTAACTTCCAATGTACCACCCCCCCTCTCCTTCAAGTCGCGTCCTGCGCAATACAGTGAAGTCAGTGCACGGAACCCCCAATTTCCGCCGTGTTCAGGCGAGTCTGTGGTACTTGGGGGGTTTCGAACTGTCTTGGGACTGTCTATCCTTACCCCAAACCCTAAGCCCGAAACCCAAAATCCTAAACCCGAAGCCCTGAAACCGAAACCCTAAACCCGAAACCCTAAAGGTCAACCCCAAACCCTGAACTGTTAAGAAAGGGGCTATGCCCTGAATGCTAAAGCCTCCAAGGCTCACAAGCACCTTCATCCTGAACCCTCTAACCTCTCATTTGGTTTTTGCTTTAGGGTTTTGGGTTAGGGTTTAGGGTTTGGGGTTGTGGATTTTGGATGTAGGGTTTGGGGTTTTGGGTATAGGGTCTTCAACTTTTAGGGTTTTGGGTTCAGGGTTTGGGTACTTTGGATACTTTGGGTTTAGGATGTAGGGTTGAAGTGATTCTCGTTCAGCTGCGTGCTCTAGACTTCAGGTTTTGCGAACTGGCATTTCCAGGGTTTGAGAAACTCGGCAGCACGCCGAGCCAAGCTTCCCAGGTGAAGAACGTTGAAGTATTCTAGAACCTACCTGGCATAAACAAGGAAAGCATAAGCAGGAATTCCAAAACGGTACGTAGGCTATTTAAGGTTCAGGTAAAGTCTGAACTCCAAGGTCTACATAGTCAAGGGTTTAGGGTCCCTATAAAATCCCAAAGCCATGAACTCGAACCCTCAGGTAAAGAACGTCCTGGAGCAGCAGAGCCCTCGCTACGATTGGGTCCTCTGGATCGACTGTGATGCGTTCTTCATGGATCCAGGTCTGGGGTTGAGGGCTTGGGATCCGGTAAGGGTTCTGATGTAGGGGCCTTAATAATTACCTATGCTATTTTGGGGGTTCCTAATTGTAGTTATGGTATATTGGGCCCCAAAACCCAATTCTAATTATCAAGGCCCCTATATTAGAGTCGTGCTCGAAATCTATAAGGGATGTGCCGATTCTGATGTGACGGTTTCGGTTTTCGGGCTTTCTTCATTCATCCAGCCCCGAAAGGCAAGACAGCAGGGTTTCAGGGCTTGAGGGTTTCGTCTTTAGGTTTTGCGACTTCAACGTATTTGGATTGATACTGGTAGGGCTTGCGCTTGGACTTAAGATTGGGTACTTCCTGGGTGGAGAAGGTGTTGTCCGACAGCCCTTTCGAAAAGCCATCAGTTCTTGCTGCCAGCTGGTGTAACAAATGCAGCGCCCCGCCAGCAATGAGAGGAATATCGGCATGCTCGGTCGGATCTCTTTGTACAGTGCTGGCTATGATGGTGTTGACGATACTGACGCAGGGTGCAATGTTTCATGACCGAGGTTCCCAACCCATCGGTTTAGGGTCTAGGGCTGAGGGTGTAGCCCTGGCACCTTAGTGACTTCCTGAACAGTCGCGTGAAGGCAGGACCATTGACTCTGTCATCCACATGCTGCTTGGCAAGTACAGCCGACTTGTCACAACACGGATTCGACTATGGTTCGAAAAGAAATACAGTTACTAGTAGTTCTACGACTTGATTATCATCATGATCGTAGTAGCCCCAAACACCACCAAAGCTCGATGCTCTCAAGCTGTGCCCGACATCCTACGTAAACTCCAAAACCTCAAAGTGCTGCAGTTAAACTCCTGAATCCCGAAGCTCTCAAACGTAGTAAACTCTAAATCCCTGAAGTCCCCCCACAAGCCTCAGAACGCGACACCGCGGGGGCCCTAAACCCTAAACCCTATAACCTAAGACAAAGGCATGCTGCCAATGCAACCGCAGCCTCTCGACTCGAGCCGAGGCCTTTTCACAATCTTCCATTAGAAGCGCCGGGGGTCCTGAGTACCTATAATTGCATGGAGTATAGGCAGTATAGGGTTTCAAAAAGGGTGTGTAGGTCCTATAGGCCCTACTGCATATTCGTAGTGGCGAGAAGGAAGCGTCAGAAGAGCAATACCAGATAGCTCTCATGTTTGCACAGGCCAGGCGTATTCCTAAGATGCCAAGAATGGTTTTGCTTCCTTTGCATGAGAACCTTAAGACCTAGAGATCGAAAGCCAAGTCAACACACACACACACACACCCTCAACCCTAAACCCTAAAGCCTCAACCCGGTAGTGTTTTTTTTTGGGGGGTGGGGGGGGTTAGGGAGGGTTTGGAGTCCTATCTGACTCTAAGTGCGAAACCTAAGCCCCCAAAACGCTGGAAGAGTCGGCTTCTAGTGAGCTCTTGAGCTTTGTGGCTTCGGGCTTAGGGAAGTTGAGGGGTGAGGGACAAATCGCTGTGATCTCAGTCGGATAAGCCATTTGAATGGGGTTTAGGGCTTAGGGTTTAGGGCTGAGGATTTAGGGCTTAGGGCTGAGGGCTTAGGGTTTAGGGCTTAGGGTTTAGGGTTTTTAAGTTTTTAAGGGTTTATGGTCTGGGGCTTGGTAGGGGTTAACGGCTTAAGGTTAAGGGTCGTCGGGTGCTAAAAAAAAGCTTTTACAGGTTCCACTAGGGTAACCCTAAACCCTAAACCCTTAAACCCTAAACCCAAGCTCTGCAAGAGTTCCTTTCAGAGTTTCTTTCAGTGTTCCGTTAATATGCCCGTGAAGGGGGGTACTATACAAGGCTGTTGGGCTTTGCGCGTCTTTACGGCTTGGTGTGTATGGCGTCTCAGGTTTGGTACTTCAACGTCGACGGTTGGAAATGTGTGCTTAATCCCCATCCCTAAGTTCTGGACCCATCTGGTTTAACAACACAGCCAGAACAAGTAGGCATAGAGACTCCGAGTAATCCAAGTTCACCTGTTGACCCAGTAAGGGCCCCAACTTTATAGGTATATGCACGATGCGAATTTATCATTTCTGCGAAAACCTGGATCGATGGCATGGTCTCTTACTTCCTGAACACCTGTGTCACCAAATCGATACTGTAGCAACCAAAACTATACCCCCCAACGCCGCACAAATATATCCTAAAATACCCTAAACCCTAAACCCCGAAAAAAAGTGTAGCCAAGGGTCGCCATTGGGTCCAAAAGTGGGTGCTGAAAGGGGGATGCTCTGGCCGAAGGGGCTATGGCCAGCCGTCGGATGGGCCTCAGCTAGTATTCGATGGGTCTTTGTAGGGTTCTTGTGAAGAAAGTTCACAGGAGTCATGGTTACATGCATTTCTGTCATTTCTGTCTGCCCGTCACTCAGTCTGCGTCTTTCCCAGTCTGTCCGCATCTGTCCGCATCTGTCCGCGTCTGTCTGTCTGTCTGTCTGTCTGTCTGTCTGTCTGTCTGTCCGTCTGTCTGTGTGTCTGTATGTCTGTCTGTATGTACGTCTGTATGTGTGTGTGCATGTATGTATGTGTGCATGTATGTATGTATGTATGTATGTATGTACGTATGTATGTATGTATGTATGTATGTATGTATGTATGTATGTATGTATGTATGTATGTATGTATGTATGTTATGAATGTGTGTGTACGTATGTGAATGTATGTGTTTATGTGTATTTATGTATGTTTGCATGTACGTATGCGTGTATGTGTGTCTGCATGCAACCAATGTAATGTAATGCTGTTGCAGTGCTATGCTATGCTATGCTATGCTACTCTATATGGTATATGTGCATGTACCTGCATGTATGGGTGTATGTGTGCTTGTGTGTACGGGTGTACGTATGTATGCATGCATGCACGCATGCATGCGTGC